TTGGTAATCACTAAAATCAAAGCAAAAATAAAGTTGAGGATCGAATAGGTACGCACACTACACACGGTGCTGTTCTGAGAGGTGATTTTTGGACTTTCTGTGAAACTTAATTTTTTTTATATTCTTGTTAATTAGGTCATAACTAAAATTTTAAGAGCAAAATAAAAAAAATTTGACGGTTTAAATTGTTTTAATTGGCTGTTTATTAAAAATATTATGCACTCTTTCAATTATCCAATTAAAACTAGCGATTTAATTTAACTATTTAATATTTGCATAACTAAAAAAAAGGTTTTTACAATTTTTTTTATATATTTTACTGTTTTGTTGCAATAAACGTTCAAACTTTTAATCTAACCTTTGACGTATACATTTATGTTCCCTTAATTAATATATCCTTAAAGGTTGCCATGAAACTTGGATATATTAAAAATTTATTTGATGTTTGAATTGTCATTTTCAGTTAAAGTGTTTTTTATAAACAAAAATGAAAAATTGTAGTAAAAGTTACGAAGAAAGGAGGACCGGTTTAAAGTTTATCGGGCCGATAACTTTCATGTCTTGGCAATATCTAGTATCCAAGGAAATTATTCGTCAAATAAATCAAAAAGGAATAAATCGGCCCTAAATAAAATGTGGAACCCTTAGAATTATTGTTTAATAAATAATAAATTTACCAAATTTTCAGGGTTTGTATAATATTTTATGCTCTTTTTAATGGGTCCATTTATAACTTTTTTTACTCATACAAAAAAAAGTTAAAAAGTTAGCCTTTTTTTAAAAGCTAAAAATAAAAGGTAAACTTTTTAAAAATAAAAATCGCTTCGAGGGGTATATGCCAAAATAAGCTGAATTTTTCATAACTTCTAATAATTTTGAGATAGTATTCACGAAAAAAATTTCTGTATAAATTATGAAGTGTCCGAACATTATGTGGTTAGGGCTCGTACAGCTAAGCAACAATAATATCCAATTCTAAAATAGAGGCGCCTCCAAAAAATTTAGCTTTGGGGGGGATCATAACCTGACGTAATCACTTCCGCGTTAAAAAACTTAAACGATAAACTAAAAAAATTAATCTTAAGCAAAATTTCAGATTACGCAGGAAAATGTTCAAAAATTTTGAACAAACTGATTAAAATTGACTTTACTTGCGAAACGTATCAAAGAAATGTGTGAAAATGTATATTATACATTGTATAACAAATTTAGGTTCGATTTGGCCGGGCCACCGACCGCCCCTCTTTGGTTGCGCCTTGGCTATAACAAAAAATGACTGTTTTCATCTTAAACTAACTAAGAATTTTTTTTAGACGATATAATTAGTAACATACTTAATTTATTTTATTGCAGCTTATTGCTCTTACTGCTACAATTGTGCCAATGAGCCCAGAAGAAGCACTAAATTTAATTATGAATACAAGAAGTAGCAGGGCATCATATCTCCAATATAGAGAGGCTGCAAAGAAATGCAACGCAAACAATTATCCATCTTGGCACAAGATATTGTCTGCAAAACAGGCTTGTTATCCCCCGGACTCTGACATCATATTATCTGCTACAAGTTAAGTTACAAGGGCTACTTAATCTAACTGCATCTAGAATATATCAACTTCAAAAAGATGTTCTAAACAGAGCTTCTAAAAAACTAAATCTTTTATGTAAATGGGGTTTAGACGGCAGCTCTGGCCAGAGCAATTACATACAAATACCAAAGCAGGACAAAAAGATTCGTCTGTTCTTATAATTTCGTCAGTTCCTTTGCAATTACCGGATGCCAACGATACTAAAATATTTTGGAAAAATCTTACAAGAGACAAACCAAATTTAAAAACAGATTTCCGATTTAAAAGAGTTTGTTATAAAAGAAAAAGAAATTAGTTTTAAAATGATTTTATGCATAATTGATGGCAAAGTCTGCAATTGTTTAACTGGAACCAAATCTAGTTAAACATATTATATATGCGGAGCACAGCCTAAAGATATGAACTCCTTAAATTTTGCAAATAAACAGGCATCAGAAGAAGCTCTTAGTTTTGGTCTTCCTACACTACTTGTTTGGATTAGATTTTTCGAGTGTTGTTTGCATGTAGCTTACCGTTTAACAATTAAGTCTTGGCAAGTGAAGTCTGGAAATTAAAACGAAATGTTAGAAAGAAAACAACAGATAATCAATAATTTTAAGAAAGAATTAGAAATTTTAATAGATCAGCCCAAACCTGGTTATGGTTCCACGAACACTGCTAGAATATATTATATATATATATATATATATATATATATATATATACTATAGCATGTTTTATTGCCTCTGCTCCATGAATGAGAATTTTATGCATACTTGGTGGAATGTAATACCATAAATATAAGGAAACATAAAGCTTTGTGGTATTCGTTATATAGATTTTAAATTACGTTTACTTCAAATCCACATGAAATAACTTAAAGAATAATATAAATTCTTCGTAGCAGTTCTAGGTTAATTCCGGTTATTTCTGCTGATTTTTTGGTAGTTTCTATATATATATATATATATATATATAGATTTTAAATTACGTTTACTTCAAATCCACATGAAATAACTTAAATAATAATATAAATTGTTCGTAGCAGTTCTAGGTTAATTCCGGTTATTTCTGCTGATTTTTTGGTAGTTTCTATATATATATATATATATATATATATATATATATATATATATATATATATATATATATATATATATATATATATATATATATATATATATATATATATATATATATATATATATATATATATATATATATATATATATATATATATATATATATATATATATATATATATATATATATATATAGAAACTACCAAAAAATCAGCAGAAATAACCGGAATTAACCTAGAACTGCTACGAACAATTTATATTATTATTTAAGTTATTTCATGTGGATTTGAAGTAAACGTAATTTAAAATCTATATAACGAATACCACAAAGCTTTATGTTTCCTTATATTTATGGTATTACATTCCACCAAGTATGCATAAAATTCTCATTCATGGAGCAGAGGCAATAAAACATGCTATAGTGCCTATTGGTCAATTGGGAAAGGAAGCACAAAAAGCTAAAAATAAAGATTTTAAGTTTATACGGGAACATAGGTCTAGGAAGAATTCTTCAGTGCATACTAATCGTTACATTTTTATTGTTTTATTTTAATATAAACTACACTGTTTAAAAGTTTCACTATTTTATTAAATATGACAATTGTTTCGCTACACAGTAGCATCTTCAGATCGTATTAACATGGAGTTTCATCAAGTAAAAGTCGAAACAATTAATTAGTTACATTTTTAACTACCTTTTGCTATCATCAGATCCATGTATTTCCATTTTTCAGTTAAAAAAGCAAAACAAAACAAATTGAAATTATATAAAGAAGCCCTAGATTTATTAAAAGATTTATTAAAAGCACCTTCTGATTCATCTGATCCAGAAAATATGGACGGTGATTAATTTTTAAGTTACCATGTAATTATTCTTTTATTTTTTGTAATTTTTCTTATTTTAAATATGAAAATGTAAGTTTATTTTTGGGAAAAAACATATATTTTTCTTATTAGTACTTTTCGAATAAACTATTTATTTTGTTCAGTATTTACCTATTCGAGAATTTATTCGCGCTAGGGTAGGCGATTGATCCACTGTGCGCTTACTACCTCGCGATTAAAAAGTTTGCCCTTGAACCTGCTGGCTTAAGGTATGTTTTCGCTGTGACTGCTGGTCGTGACTGCCAGCAGTAACGTCTGGCAGTCGCATAATTCTTTATATTTATGTCAGTGCAAGTGTTTTCGCTCAAGCGTCCAGTCGTCGCGTCTCAACTGCCAGCAGTCGACGTTCGAAGATCGACTGCCCAAGGAGTAGTCTGGCAGTTGGCAGTCGAGACCCCTCTCTCTTGTTACCAATGCTTTAAATTATTTTCCCTTAAATAACCCTTATCTAGTAGTCTAGTAGTCGACAATTTTTTAAAGTCTTTTTCTATAAGTGATAAAACAAACTGAAACTGGGCTCTATTTAATCTTTAAAAGTCCCGAAAACATTTTTCATCTTATTGTAAATGAGATTTAATTAATAATTTAAAGTAACCCTTATTTTGTGGGCTGCGAAATAACTGAAAAATAGAGCTTCGTTCCATATTTAATAAGTATTGAAATTCCTCAGTTTCTTCTTCCTCCCCTTCCAAAATAACCAACCATACCCAACTTAACTCATTTATAAGCAACCACAGACTGGAAGGTAGAGAAAAACCGTCAAAATTTGTCGCTTCAGTTACTGCTGACGGCCACTGCCAGACGTTACTGCTGGCAGTCGCGACTAACAGTCGCAGCGAAAACATACCTTTAGGTGGCGTGAACGAACGTCAAAAACCAGAAAATTGTTCGTACTTGGTCGCTCGACCTGTCCCGCGAGCCCCAGGCCCCCCAGTGGACCGAAATGCGATTCTGACTGGACAATTTTTTTTAGTGACAATCTTATAGACAATTTTAGGCTGATTCTAAATATACCCTGTTATTATACCCAAAAACCACGTTTTTCAACATATTTTCCTATTTTTCTTTTATAATAACCGTTCTAAACGACTTTGTTCATGATAAAAGTTATAGACAATTAAATTTTGCGTCAATTGACTGCTAACAATTGCTAAATAAGCCGGAAGTTCAGTGAGTTATTGAGGTTAGAAGTTTTTCATTCGCGGAAAACACCATAAATTGGCACATTAAAAGTAAAATTGTTGATAATCCAATTCTGCGTCGATGGACCACCAATTTTATGAAGTTATCCCAAAAATTGAAGAAGTTATGAAGTTTCAAAATTTGAATTTACTACTGTCTTACACTAATATGTTAACTGATTATCGGGCACATACGTGCACTAGTTCTCTAAGTATGTGGTATTTACCCATTTTGGGGAAAAATCCTGTGTTAACTCTGGTTTTATTCTTTATAGATTATCTCAAGAATGGAGGAGGATACACTAAGCAATAGTGAAATTTGCTCTTTTATCGCAGACATGTCAGATTCAGAAGATCCAACATATACACCAGAGATGGAAAGAAAGGAAGAGAAAAAACGATCAATTCCGGATTTTTTTAGCGTTACTTCTGCTTCGTCAAGTAAAGTATCTGAGTGCAGTGATAAGAAACAAAAGAAAGAGAATAAACCAGAAAATAAAAGAAGTAATGAAGAACAAGAAGACCTACCAATATCAAAAAAATAGCGAAAGATAAATGATAACTTCACTAAAAGAAACATAGCGAAAATTGATCAAAACGACTTTGATAGAAGGATTTTAAATTTCATAACAAATACAATGTCTGCTGTGTCTATAATTGACCATCCTTCCTTCATTGCACTCTTTAAGGGCATGGACCTTAATGTCATAAGTCGAAATACAGCTATGAAGAAAATTGGTTTACTTTTTGCCGAATTAATGACAAAAATTAAAAATGATTTAGAAAAAGTTGACTACGTGTGCAGGACTGCAGACATATGGTCGGCAAAGCGCAGAAGCTTTTTTGGACTCACATGTCATTGGATTGATGAAAATTATCAACGATGTTGCACTTTTATGTCAGCGTTTTATGGGCAGTCATACTTTTGAAAAAATAGCGGAAATATTAGATAATATACATGCAAAATTTGGCTTACATACTGAGAAACTGGTGGCTACAGTTACCGATAATGGCTCAAATTTTGTGAAAGCATTTAAAGAATTTGGAGGTGGTACTCTGACAAAAATTACCGATACAGAGAGTGACAACGGCGAAGGAGAAGAAGACTACTACGAGTTTACAAGTATTCTAAATGATTTTTTCTCGTTGCAATTACCCAAACATGTTAGATGTGCTAGTCACACATTAAATCTCATTGCAACTACAGATGTCAAGAACGCCATTCAAAGTGATCCAATCTTATAACCCGCCACACCAATTCTATATCCAAGTGTACTATACTTTGGAAGATGGCTGCCAAAGACCAGCGAAATTATTAATGGGGCATAATTTAAGTTATCCAGGAGCTACGCGCTGGAACTCGTTGTTTGATGCTATTGATCAAATTTTAAAAGAAAAGGACAAATTGTGCACTCTTTTTTAAAAACTTGATATAAAAAAACAGATGTTTAAAGAATCTGAAATAGAATACTCAACTCAATATTGTATAATTTTAAAACCTTTAGCTTATGCTTTAGACATCTTGCAAGGCGAGAAAAATGCATTTTTTGGTTTTCTATTACCATGCTTAGGGTCTCTTTAAAAAAAATCGAAAGAATGCAATTTAAAAATTTTCTAAACCAATTCTAGACGCTTGCCATGATGCTTTACTCAGAAGGTTTCAGAAGTACTTTGACTTTTCAACAAAAGAAGCTAAAGATGCAACAGTTGCAACATTTACTTTGCCACAATTTAAATTAAGATGGGTCAAGAATTTTGAGCAATTTTTAAAGAAAAACGAGGACCCGAATGACCAAATAACAAAAATTATATTGGACATTGCTCAGGACCAAAAGAAAATTTATACGGACAACACTTCAAGATACCAAAAAAACAAAATTAGATGATTTCTTTGAACTAGAAGATTTACCAACTGCAACAACAAAACCTACCAGTAACAATTATAAGAAAAAAGTTGAATTGGAAATTTTGCAATACCTTAATGATTCAAATACAGAAATTACTGCCCTAAATAGTTGCTCTGCTATGAGATCTTTATTTTTTAAGTTCAATAGTGTTTCTTTTGCAGAGATCGTTAATACTCCAAGGAGACATGCATTGTCTGATCTTCACTTCGAGCAACTGATACTTCTAAAGGCAAACTCTATTAAATATACATATGTATAACCATTGTTTTTGTAAAAATAAATTATTTTTTAGATTGCCATTAATTGAATAACTAGCAAATGCAATTGAATTTTACATTTTTTTATTTCTTTTATGGGTAATTGATAATTGCAAGTACTTTGAAAAAAACTAAAGTAATTGGAAATTTGCACAGTTTTTTGGATGTTTTTAAGATTAACATGGGCTTATATTTAATAATTTTTTGGTAATTTAATTACTTATCGGTAATTGAATTAAATACAGTATTTCAATTACTTTTAAGGAATTTGACGCAGATAAAGTATGTAGGCTACGCTACAATATTTCATTGTCTGGTATTTTAAATTAATAATATTGAATAAATATTCAGTTAATACTGTTAGCGCCATCTATCGGTAGATCTGCATATTTCCTTAATTAGTTTAATTTGCTACCTATGGGATTTGTGAAGCGTACTCGGTCCATTTTGGGTATTGTTGGTTATACGAGTGGTGTGTCAAGACGCCGATTTTTGAATCCTTGCTTGGAGAAGTCATCCTGTGGATTTTTTGAGATATTTTGTCGTGAAAGCAAAGACGAAGGAATTGAGTTTATTTGGACATATAAATTTTTGATTTGTTGATTTGTTAGGAGTGAAATCCGAGACGTCGAAGTTTGGCATGCGTAAGTTTGTAGGTTAATTTTTATTCCGGCTTTTTCCTAAGCCGTGTGTGTACTATTTTTAGCACTCGTATAATAACAATCAAACACAACAACTCTGTGTCCGAGTCAGAACTTGTATTGTCCAGGAAATTCCACGAAAGGAGTTGTGCCTTGGGGCCGAGAAGGCGAATGCAATGTTTTTGATTTGGAATGGTATAAATACCGCTTGAGTTGGTTTTCTCTACGGCTGTTGGCTGTGTTCGAGTTAGGAGCTGATTTTTGACAGAGTGCTGCTGAAAACTTTGGTTGAATTCTACCACTACGTATATGGGTTCGAATAGTCCCACGATGTACCATAAACACTGTGGCTGTACTGTCAAGGCTGCTGGATTACTGCTGTGTTGCTGTTTCCTCCTGAGAAAGACTGAGTCACCGTTGATCCACCGTTACTGAATAAATATTAATTTTAAGTTTAATATAAAAATTGACACTACATTTCTCATTAAGAGTTTTACCATTCTTATTTTTTTATATTGCGCCTATTCTTAATCTCATTTAAAACCAAGACCTGTAAATCAAGTCCCCTACGATAATTTTCACTTAAGGGTATGCCCATTACAGATGCAAGTTAGGTGTAATATTACTTTAATTATATTATAATAATATTGCATTACAACATTTCGATATTGATTTTTTTATTTGTTAATAAAGAACTGTAGCTCACAGAGAAGTTTTATTGCTACTGTTGTTGCCATAATACCATACCAAGCCTTCAAGGTAAAGTATTATTAGAGTAGATTTATTTGTGTATATTTGAAGCTTAATATATACTTAACTTATTTTAATTAGCATAAGCTTCTGGCGCCCATTGAAGTTTATATTTCCTACACCCAAATGCCCGACTGATTCCAGTTAGCCGTTCGCAAAGGCCTTATAAGAATTTACTACATAGTCCTACTAACAAAAATGAAATATGCTACTTATAAAAAAACTGAATAATACAAAATATGAATGATGAAAGTTAAATACAAAAAAATAGTATCTATGCTCTAAAAATCTAACTAATTATAAGGAAAAAGGTAAAGCAGGAAAGACAAGATCGTTTTAATAAATCTGCTGGTATTCATGCAAGTTGGTCAAATGTCTGAAAGAATTATAAGGTGTGGCTCACAAAAAAACTGAATTAAGTTATAAAAACTGAGAAATGTCGTCTGACGTTAATCGAAAATATTTAGTGTAAGTAACCACCTTATAATAAATATAATACGCACAATATAAGAGAAAAGATAAATGAACTTAAACCAACTTACATGAATCGTCCACGCAGCCAGACCGGAGCGATCTTGTCAGAAACCAGGATCGGAACCAAGAGAGCTCCTCCACAACGTCCGCTTTCCATCAAGCCTTGCTTTCCCCACCGTATTTATTTTACCATTTTTGACTAATTAAAATATAGTGGTTTATAAGAAATTATTTAGTATAAAATATGAACTTAAAATATTATATGAGAGATTATGCAAGCTATATTTTACGAGGATAATGTTTGAGTCTATACTTTTTCTGCTTCAATTAAATAATTAAAAATAAACAAAATTTTTTAATAGTTGCAAACTAGCGTTTTCCATTTAAAATGAGATGAAAAACCAAAAACGTCTACGCTGCTGGCCAAATTGGGCAAACATATTCAACCAACCAATCACAGCTCTCCATAAATTCACGTGACTCGAGATCGCACACTTAATTTGCACATCTTACATACTTTTTTTATAATGTAGTAAAACCATTGAGTAAGATGTTTTCAATGGTAAAACAACATTTGATCGTTAAGGCGTTTTCACAAGGAGCAATATATTGCTAGCAATGAGACGCGATGCAATAAATATTATGGTGGCAATAGCGCTACTACTTGAAATACACTCATTTTGTTTTGCTAATATTGCACGATAATATATCTCGACCATAATGGTCGAGATATATTATAATGCAATGATGGCAGAAACCTATACATTGCATAGTATAAAAATCTAACAGCGTCACCAAATATTGTACAGCTGTACATGTCGCGTTCAGTTACAAATTTTTATATAGTGGTATAATGGTCAGCATAGTTGCCTTCCAAGCAGTTGATCCGGGTTCGATTCCCGGCCATCGCATAACTTTTTTACTTTTTTTAAAGCTTTGTTTTGTATTTTTAAAATCTTTCGCTTAAGCAATTATTATCAATAAGTTTTTTCTTCCTTATTTCAAAAATTATTTTTATCTTTATTAGTTTTTTAATAAATTAAGCAGCTATCTGCATATTTGCCATTTTTTAAACTAGTCTAATATGTTTGGGTCGTCATAAAAAGATTTTCTAAAAGAAAATGAACCCATCAAAGATGAAAAATACATTCAAAATTAAATCACAACAATTATTTAGTGGCTTTTTTATATAATAATAATACATGTTTTTAGATATAAAATAACACTGGTCTATAGATATGATGTAATATAATCTCAATTATTAAAAAAGTTTATGCACTTTTTTATGTACAATTCAGCACGTATGTATACAAACTTTTTGACGTGCTGAATTCTACATCAGAAAAGTCCATGAGCTTTTTTAATAATTGAGATTATATTACATCACATGATCATTTTTTTCACAAAACTTGTAACGCTATCGCTATGAATTTATTCAATATTCTTTCTCCTCTTCGAAAAATCTTTAGTTGAAATTTATGAGTTTGATTTAGGTAAAACTTAATTCATTTCGATCATAACAGAACTGTACTTACTATTTCTTAGTTAAAGATAATAAAAAAAAAGAGGAAGAGTGGTAATTTTATATGTGATAACCAGTGATGTAAAAAAAACAATATGTATGTAACTAGTGTTGCCGCCGAGACGAGAGATTCTCGCCTCTCGTCTCGTCTCGCCCTCTCTCGACGAGACGAGAGAGATATTTTCTCTCGAATGAAAGCTCGAGACGAGACGAGAGAGAGTCCCTCTCTCGTCGAGAGATTCTCGTTTCTCTCGTTCTCTCTAGCAAAAAATGTTGGTTTTTTAAATACCATCTGTTCGTATTGACCTATTATAGAGTTAAGCTAAAATTTATGTACTGTTTTTTTTAAATAAAAGGTATGCAAAAATTGTCATATATTCCTTCCTTGACAACATGTACTGTGGCTTACCTTTCGTTAACTTGAAATCAGATGGAGAAAATCCAAAAGTGTGATTAAATTGTACTGTTGATGCATTTTTTTTCGGAAATTATTCATAAGCGGAAAATTTTAATTTTTCTTCTCTGGCTTTTGGTGTGAATTTTTGTTATTTAGAAATCTGTTGATTTAAAAAAATGTTTTTGGACGATTCTTCAGAGAGCAAAAATTCTGAAAATAAAATAAGTTTGTTTTTTATTTTAAAAAATATGGAAAATTCAGATGAAAAATCTGCTAGTTAAAGAAGTTTAAAGGTCTCTGTATTGTGCGTTTATTTCAAAAAAACATAGAAATTTGTTACAAAAACATGTTTTTAATAGCACATGTAAGTAAACGAAATTTTACCCGGTACTTATATTGTAAATTCTAAATATTTGCGTTAGAAGTATAATCATAATAATATTTGCGTTAGAAGTATAATCATATATAGGTATACCTATAATCAGAAATTTATAAAAATGTAGTATACGATACATCGTTTAAAATTAATACCGGTGCTTTTACATAAACAAAATATATTTTTATTTTCAGAAGTTTTAAGATTTTTATTTTCAATAGTATATTAAGTAAAAAAGAGAATAGGACGGTAATTTAAAAAGATTGCTTTTTTCACTACACTATTGATTCTTTATATTAACATAATAACACTAATTTTTATTTTGAAGACACAAAAAAATAATTGCAACACATAACATAAAAAATTATTTATTAACGAAAAATAGCTTATAATAATAAACACTAATTTTTACAGAAATATGAATGCAACATATAATATAAAAATTTATTTATGAACGAAAAAATATCCTTTAATACTAAAAGGGTTGATAAAAAAAACTAAGTTAAGTTGAAAAAAAAATATGTACATATAAGGAAAATATAAAAATCCAAAATATTTATATATTAGCAAATATATTTTTTTTAAGGCTACATGAATACCAAGAATTTAAACATAAAAGTGTTCTCGCTGATTCATCATTAAGACGGTTCCTATGTTTTCTTATTACGAGTCCTGCTTTCGAAAAGAGTCTTTCAGCAGGAACACTGGTTGCAGGTATGGCGAGTATATCCCTAGCCATTCCAGCAAGATTTGGAAATATTTCTTTATGGTTAGCCCACCATTTTAAAATACTGGTATCTCGACTAGCCCTTTCTCCGTCTAAATATCTTTGAAATTCTGCTGTTGCTACCTCTTTATTATTAATGGTCGTTTTTTTATACAAGCCATCCATAAATTCATCACTACTAGTTGATGATGAATCTTTTCCTTGTTCTGCTTCCGTCTCAGTAACATTAGGCTTTACGTAGAATGAGTAGAAGATTTCGTCAAATTTCCTTCTTTAATTTCTCTTCCCCATGCTGTCAAATTAAATGTTTCCATTTTGTGTCTCGGGTCTAATATTAATGCTGCACAATAAACCCAGTTTGTTTTATAATAGTGCTTCAGCATTTTATCTCTTCCTGCTTGAAATGCTTCTATCAGGGTTCTTTCCACATGATGATCTGTTTTTTCTGTATTATTTAGAGATATTAAAAAGGATTCCAATTTATCTAGTAATATATTAAAACCAACTATTACTAAGGGTAGTGTTGAGTAAGTTTCCCCACAAAGTGTAGTACTCAGTATTTTAAAATATTTTAAAAACTGACATACTATGCCAATTAATTTTCATTCTTCTTCGGTTAAAAGAAAGTATTTTAAATTTTCATTACTTTGAACTAAACTGTTTACGGCCTTTTTTAAACGAATCGCTACATTTAACATGTCACAAGTAGAATTCCATCTAGTGGACACATCTATATTAACTGACACATATTTTATGTTAGCAGCATCACATAGCGTTTTTAACAGATTCTGGTATTGTTCAGATTTTTTAATTTTTTTAAACAAATATCTTACTTTTGTCAGGGGCGGTAATTCTGTATTCTGGGTAATTTCGTCCAAATCATCAATATCATCATCTTCGTCCTCCTCAATGAATTCATTTTCCAGTTTTAATAATTTTAACGTGTCTTGCACACCCAGATTTAAAATATGTATTAAATATATGTATTAAATGAGTGATGTGGGCAATCTTTTTTAATTAAATCATCCAGTTCTTTTATAAAAGTTGTATTAGCTGCCGCATTATCCACTGTGATTCCCTGCAATTTATCAATAATTTCATAATCCCGTGCACATTTGTAAAATAATTTCGCAATGTCTTTTCCTGTATGATTACCATTAGATGGTAAAAAATCTATGACCACTGAATTCAGATTCCAAAATTCATCAATAAAATGAGCTGTTATTCCATAATAGGACTTAAAGTTTATCGAAGTCCAACCATCGATAGTAAAAGAAATTTTTGATTTATTCTCTTTTAAAATTTCTAGTATCCTTTTTTGAACCAAAGTAAAAGTGTTTATTACCTTTTTTCTTAGTGCTGTTCGTTTTGGGAGCACTGCAGTGGGATTTAATTTTTTAAAGAAAGTTTGGGTATGCTCATCGTCAAAAAAGCTAAATGGTAGATATTTTAAACATACCCACTCGACGATGTCTTCGTCTTTCACAGAAGAAACCTAAAATAAAAAGAAATCTTAATAAAAGAAAACCGAAACTTAATCACCCTGTAAATATTGATCAAATTGCTGGTAACATTAATTTTTTTAAGTTTAAAGGGAGTAAGTAATTTTAATGTAAACTTTTAAAAATGAATTAAATTGGAACAGCTTGTATCTCTGAAACAAAGCATTTAAAGAATTATTTATAAGGTATGATAGAACTTTCTTGTAATTGTTTATTTAGAATTTTTAGTTTGATCCATCAACTTGTAGCTTTTTTGGTGTTTCTACTATAGGACAGAGCGGATATTTTTTTGAAATTTTAATTTAAAATTGTGTGATCAAGGTTACACTAAATAAAGACCCAAACAAACTGTATATTTCAGAAAAAAGTACTCTTTTAAATGAACTAAAAATATACAGGGTATTCCATTTAAAATAACAAAGCTATAGTCGGATTCATACCTATCGACAAAACTAAATTAGTAACTTTGTGCTGTTAGGTTTACCGAAAACGTCAATATTAATGTTGACGTTTTCGGTAAACCTAACAACAAAAAGTTACTAATTTAGTTCCGGCCATAGGTTTGAATCCGTAGTAACTTTTTGCTGTTAGGTTTACCGAAAACGTCAACATTAATGTTGGCGTCTTCGGTAAACCCAACAGCAAAAAGTTTTCTATTCAGCCATAAAATATTTTTTATTTTTAAACACATTTAAGTCCCCCGCCATGGCGCGCCAGCCCTTAAAATTGATAATAAATTTTATAACTTGCCTACTAAATAGCAGCTCTTTGCTTATTTTGTACAAAAAATATACAAAATAACCGCGGGGAGGTGGCTGCCATCGAGTTACATCCCTGCCCACCCATAAACCAGCCCACCCATAAACCAGCCCACCCATAAACCAGCATCAGGCTCTTTATTAAAGAGTCTTTAACTTTAAATATATTTTTTTAGAGGTCGGGCGGAGGGGTACGGGTGAATATTAAAATTTAAAAAAAAACCTATCTATTTTAAACCATTTCACAACTTTTTTTACTATAGGCATAGACAAATTTTAAAATCGAACCTCCCTACTGTGCACCTACCTAGTAAATATTTTGATAAATTATTTTATCAAACCGTTTGATTTACTGTGAACGGCATATACATACAACACAAAAATACAAACAAGTACAAGTATATGATACAATACAAAATTTGATATAATTTAATATAAGCACGTATAGTTTTTGTATATTTTTTGACGGTTGAGTGTCACCATAAAAATGTAATTGGGTTTCACTCGGTAAGGGCTGAAAGGGCTGTCCTTGCCTTCATCGACCCCCCTCCTAGATACGCATTAACCAATAATCAAATAATTCATTTTACTTACTATTTTAGTTTTGGATTTAAATACGTTATCCAAAGTCGGTTGAACAGATCCTACAGACAAAACTTTTGACTTCGATGGGAAAAGTGAAGAGAATTCTTGTTGATGCTTCTTCTTTAAGTGCCATTTTAGTCCAGAGGTATTTGATTGGCTCATTTTTATATTATCGGTTTTAATATTCATTTTTTTGCATAAATTACATGATGCTACTTTAGCGTTGTTTGGCAATAAAGTAACAGTAAAATGTTGCAAATATTTTGAACCTGATTGACTTAATAATTTAGTTTCTATTATGTGGCTCTGCTTGGTCTCAATTGTTTTAACGATTTTGGAACGTTTTGATTTTTTCTCTCCTTTTAGTTTAGATTTTGAGGTTGAGGGTTGATCACTTTCGTAAATTTCGCTGTCACTTTCACTTTCCACTTCTTGCACAGGTGTATAGTCTTTATCTTTGTCACTATCGTCCATTTCGACCGTTTCATTTGCAGAATCACTTCGATCACTTAAATGTTCTGCAAATTTTAAGAAAGTTTGACGACTTCTTTTCATTTTAAAATCTTCGGAAATAACTAACCGCACGCGTTAAAGTACAAATCAGAAATAAAATTACGTTCCATTTAAGAACTAAGCGTCGCCGCGCCGCTTTGTCGGCATGTATCAAAGGGCTATTTAATGGTTTTACCCAAGAATTTACCTAAAAACAATAATTTATTGCTTTATTCTTAAGGATTTATATTATTGGCAAAATACAAAATAATCTTTTATTAACGAACACTTGGGATTTTAGGTACAGTTTTAAATAAATAATGCGATGCAAAACTTTTCCACAGCTTTTATTTCATCGGCATCAACGAGGTATTTTAGTACATGTATTGTATTTACTTCTTTATTTATTGTATGTATGCATATGCAGAGTATATCCTAGAATGGACTTAACACTTTATTTTGAAAAAAAGTAAATACCATGGTATGTATAAATAAGAAGATTCATCTTGAAAAAACACTTTTACACAGGGTGTCTCAAAAACATTTTATAGCTGATATAAATCACGAGAGACGAGACGAGACGAGACGAGAGAAAGGCTCTCTCGAGCGATAGAAGAGTCATATCGTCGAGACGAGAGACCCATTTTATCTCGCATAACGAGACGAGACGAGAGAAGGCCTTCTCTCGTCTCGTCTCGCGGCAACACTATATGTAACAAACAGTGGCGGCTCGTGCCTTCCATGCTTGGGTTGCCTACCTGCCACTAGTGTCAGTGGAGTGGCTTAGTATATAGTACCATGTTACTAATAGTTTAATTTTATTTAAATGTTTTTTCATGGATAACTTGACAGAATACATTTTTGTAGTTATTATTGTGCATTTTTCTACTTAACATTTTTTAATACAATTTAGTATAGGGTGGTTTTAAGGGGTGGTAAATCCAGTGCAGTGCTTGGAATTTGTTTTAAAAAATCGCTAATATGAATTTTTAAAAACTAAAATAGTAGACCTTGTATTTTGTAAAAATATGGGTTTTTTTTGCTCAAAAAATACAGTTAATCAAGTTCTACACTTTAAAACAAATCCGGTTAAAATCTCACAATAAATAAAGATTTTACAGGGGTGAGTCGTAAACAAATGGGTCACACTGTATGTGGACGTTATCATTCGTATCAATAACGAAAAATCCTTATCAATAACAAATTTTTCTTAGCGACACGTTGGGCATAACTACCCTTGGGATTGCGGTTAATTCGTAGGCAATTTTAAATTTAAAAAAATCAGTGGTTTACTTCTCGATTTCGCCTTAGCTACTCAAACACATTAGGTACGCCACTGTATGGTAGATATGAGATATAGGACAACTCTTCTTATAATCCAAGTATGTGTCAATAAGACTTGCACCTAATTGGGTCATTGAGTAAAATTCAGAAGAAAACGCATTTTAAAAGATAACACAACATGCTTAAAACTTAATTATTTTAAAAATACATAAACAAAGATATTTTTAAAACGAACGTGGTATAATCATGAACTTATCGTTAGGTTAATAAAACAAACGCGATACCTTCATTTTATAATGCAACGCAAAAGTGTAGAGACGTCAACATGTTTTTAAGTATTGTAACGGGCAAAAGTGCCGTTACAAAAATTTTAATTGGAATTGTGAATTTTAGTCATATTTATGCTTACAGAAAATATTGGTAATAAACATCTGCATACTTATACTGTGTTAAAATGCAAAGGTAAACAATAAAATGAGTTAGTTTCATAATTTATTTCAATTCTGCTCCATACTGTATAATATCACTTTTAGTTATTTAAATTTTGTCCAATATTTCCAGTCATAACCTCCACATGACCTTCATGAATTTTCTATGAATCCTGAAAACAAATAGTAATGTACTTGCAAAGTATTAGTTGTATTATAAAATAGAACTTACCTATATTTATATGTTTAAGTTTCTTTCCGTTTTCCTAGCAGATTCTAGGAATAGGTGATAGTTTTCTTGTAAGTGCTGTCATTTGTAATTTGCGTTTGTTTATGTTTTTTTTGTGTTTAATTTCCATTGATTAAATAACCATTGTTTAAGAGTTATGTAATTATTCTTCATAATTTAATTTCATGAATATTTTTTTATTATTTTTCTTCGACAATTGAAGCTGGCTGAAAATTAAAAATAAATTAAAATCTAAATTATATTCAAATTTAAATACACATTATTTTTTTTATTTGCATTAATTAAAATATTGGTAATGCCTATAGTTAAAGCTAAAATCCTCTAAACAAATTTGGTTCTAAATGAAAATTACTATTTTTTTAAGATCTAGCCACGTTTTTTTCTATTCGATACTTTGAAGAAGTCGGTTGTGTTTCAAGCCAAATAAAAATTTAATTAATTCTATTATTATAAAGAACAAGGCAAATCTTTATTTTAAGATAAATCTTTATTTTAAGATAAATATTTGGAGACCTTTAACTCGAGCTCGCTAAACGAGAAGCGGGCGTAAATGCTGACGGTGTTTATAACACATCGTATACGTGAGAAGAAATGGGCAGTCAGGAAGCAGCGTTCTTACTGAATAGTTTTGTTTTTAATAAAGTGTCGTTTAATATATGTATTAAACTTTATTTTGAAGTTTTTCTTACAAATCAGAAGTGGGATATTTACTCAAAAGTGCCTAAAAACGTTTAAGTGGTTTGGAAATAATGGCTGATTTAACAGATACTGAAGAAATGCGCTATACCCCCGAAAATCTACCGTCAACCTCAACAGCCAAATCGTCAAAAAGAAAAAGAAGTAAAAGTTCATCATCGTCAACATCATCGAGTAGTTCGAGTTCTACATCTAGTACAAGTAGTTCTTCTTCGTGTGGAAAGAAACGAAAACAAATTCGCAAAAATAAAAAAGAAGCCCGAAAGAAAAAAAATAAGCCCTCCAAATTTAAACACAGCAGTTATGTTTATTTTAAGGGCATTGATGAAAAAGTAATTCCCCTTTACGACCCAAAAAATGACGAAAAATCTGTCGAACAATGGGTACAGTGCGTAGATGAATTGGCAAAACACTACCACTGGAATTCCGCAATTACAAGTAAGTTTGCGACCTCCCGACTAGTTGGTTTGGCTAGAATGTGGTATGATTCTCAAAATCATATTATAAAAAAGTGGAGTGAAATAAAAAGAATATTAGTTAAGCAGTTTCATAAACCACTACCTTTTGCGAAACTTCTTAAAGAAGCTACTCTTTATGAAGCAAAAGTATGTGAAGATCTTTCTGAATACTGCTTTAAAAAACTTCAGAAACTAGGGGCTTTGCAATTAAAAATACCCGCCCTGGAGAAGTTAGAGCGTCCCCACCGTGACTGGAAGTACGTCCTCCAGGTCGACGCGTCGGAAGAAGGCATGGGCGCCGTTCTGATGCAAGAGGATCCAGAAGGGGCCAAGCATTTAATCCACTTCAGTTCCTCGAAATTCCACAAGGCCGAGAAACAGTACCACGTGAATGAAAATGAATGCTTGGCGATGGTTTGGGCTGTCAGGAGGTACAGGCCGTACCTCGAGGATCAACATTTCACCATCAGGACGGACAACAGGGCCTTGGTGTGGTTGCAGAATCACAAAGACGATCGGGCCAAGCTGACCAGGTGGTCACTACTGCTACAGGAATTCTCGTTCCACCTCGAACACGTCCCAGGGAAGACCAACCAACTGCCCGACTACTTGTCCAGGAATGCTGTGGAATGCTCGGAGGGCCCCGCCGTCCAGTACGATGAGTTAATTCCCACACCCGAAGTTTGTGCCGTCCAGGATGAACCTCTGATACAAGAGGTGTTGAACGGGCAACTCCTTGTGTAACGTGGTCCACCACGTTACACAAGGATTGGTACGCAGGATCAAACGGGCTGAAGAGGATGGACCCCAGGACGACACCGACCGCAGCCTGGTGGCCAACTTCCTGGTGTCAGCCACGAATAACCTTTTTCAACGACGACAAGATGGATCTTGCCGAATCTACGTGCCGGAAGGGATGCGACAGAAGATCCTGGACCATTTCCACGCCAGCGACGCCGGGGCACACCCTGGACAGAAGGAGACAACTAGAGCCATCGACGGACGCTTCTACTGGGACCGGATGGGGGCCCAGATCAAGCGATATGTGCAAGCTTGCCTAGTTTGCCGACAAATCAAGGGTAGAAATCTTCAAGAGGCAGCCCCGATGACAACCCACTCCCCGACCAAGGCCTGGCAGATGATATCAATCGACACGCTGGGCCGCTATCGAGGAAATGGGAACGAACCAGAATACGCCGTGATTGTCGAGGATATTTTGACAAAATGGACAGAAGCCACCGCAGTCAAAGACTCCCGTCATGACACCATTACCGCCGTGCTGGATGGATTGTTCCTGCGTTATGGAGTTCCGGAAATCATCATAGCTGACTGCGCTTCCCAGTTCACGCTCACGAAATGGGAACGATATTGCAGAAAACTGGGTATCCGGATGGTCAACGCAGCGGCCTATTACCAAAGGGCCAACCCCGTGGAGAGACAGGTGCAAGAAACGAAGAAAATTATTCGAGCACTTATGAAAACAAATCCACGAGCCCCCTGGTATGAACTTCTACCCCGAGCCACAGGGATACTACGAGGACGAGTCAACCGTGCGACAGGGGAGACACCAGCCAAGGCGTTCCTTGGTTACGAGCCCCGCCAGCCAGGAGACTGGCTCATTCCCCGAGCTCAGGATGTCCAACAGTCGAGGGAAAACCATGATGGACAACTCCGCCGGAGGAAACAAATCTTCGCCAGAGAATACGTGGGCGATCCAGCTCACGTTCCGGTGTAATTCCAAGCGGGGGACGAGGTTTTAATCAAAAACCACGAAAGGACCAACTTCGGCGACCCTTGGAAGGGCCCATTCACCGTCATTAGGAGGATTTCGCCGGTGACATACGAAGTCAGAACGGATGGCCGAGCAGTTCCACTCCACGTAGACGACATCAGGCCCATCCCAAGACAAGTGCAATAAGTGAAATAGCAGAGTAAGTGCAGTGCCCA